CAAAAACGGGAACGGAGGAGGGAAGGGGCGACCTCCTCCCCCGAAGGTTCCTCCGCAGAAGGGCCAAGCCTCTCCGATGAAATCCCAGCAGGTCTGGGCTGGGGGCAGAACAGGGCACAGGAGAACGAAGGCGAACTGGGGCCAGAAGCAGCCAGATGACCTGGCCGAAAACAAAATGAACCTCGGAACCCCTCCACATGCACACACTCCCTGAGTCAGGTCAAAAGTGGAGTGCCTGCTGTTTCCCAAGGGGAGGGAAAAAAACTCATCACCTCTCATCACCTCTCCCCCTCAGTCTTCTGAGGGCCATCAGCCTGGACTGTGGCCTGTCACCAGTTCTTTTGTGTGTGTGAATCACCCCAGCCGAAAACCACCCTCCCTTTCCCTTGTTCAAACATCCCTCTTTTACAATGATGCAGGGGAAGGAAGAAAAAAAATATTCCCCACTTGTTTTTTTAGAACAAGTAAACCTATGACACAAGGGTTTCCCTTCCATCTCGTAACAGGCCCACATTAAGCTTTGTTTTCCTTTTGTTACTGATGTATTTGAAGAAGCCCTTCTTGCTGTTCTTGACATCCTTGGCCAGATTTAATTCCGGTTGGGCCTTGGTCTTCCTGGTCTCATTCCCTTGCTGTGCACCACGTGGCCCGAGAAAACAGCGAAAGTAATGCGGTAAACAAGTTTCTGCAGTTTAACACCTTCCCTGGGCAGACAAAAACAATGGGGAACAGGGGCAAACCAAAACCTGGAAGCCTATTTTGTCCAAAAGTATTTATTCTGCCAAGATGCTTGTGTGGGTTCTGGCATAGCGGCAGCTGGTGAAAGCATCAGCCATGGTCCCAGGCAGCTCCGGTGGTGGTGGTGCCGATGTGGCGGTTCTGGCAGTGGTGGTGCAGCTGTGACGGCTCTCTTGCAGTGCTGAGAGGACACACAGTCCTGATCCGCAGTCCCACACACCCTCTCCTGCCTGTGCAGCAGCAAAAATAGCAAACCTTCCTATGAGAAATAAAAATACAGGGTTTTTTATAAATAGGCGTATCGTGAAGTTGTAAGACATCCAAGTTCCAAGAGCTGAACTTGGGTATCAGGGTCTCTTTTGGAGGGATAAGGGAAATGAGAAAATTCTTAAAAATTAAATCTTTTAGGGCCATTTTGTACACGAGGTTCCTTTTCTCCTTGGGCTAAGAACAAAGGAAGATCCATCACCTTTGACAGGGAATGGCTTGCAGCCAATTGGGATAAAGGGAAAGCCCCTTTTCAGAGAAAAGAAACCTTTTTAGGTAAAGAGGAATACATTAAAACTTATCTGAGAAGGGTGGGATTTTGGAAAACTATAAAATGTATAAGTTGTATGCCCACAGGGTCTTTTTCCCTGAAAAACTCGGTGAGAGAAGGACCCAGCACACTAAATAAATTCTTTGTTTCTTTGTTCCCTGAATTATGCCGTCTTTCTAAATTTAAAAGAGGGATTTTTCCCACATTCCATTTTCGGCTTCAGGAGCGAAAGAGGTAGTCCACCAAACATGACACAGAAGGTGTAGAATACACCATTTGGTCACCCCACATAGTGCTAAACTCCACCTCCTATCCTTTTAACTAGGGCAACCTTTCTTCCCTGCAAGGCCCATTTCTTTGGGATTCTTCCAAGAAGGTCCCTGAAGAGGATAAGTTTGTTCTGCTGAAGTCCATGGTTGCGATCTTCCTTGCTGCCCTGCTTCCTCCTCACTCGGTACTAAACTCCACAATCTCATGGTCGCTGTATCCAAGGCTGCTCCCAGCCTTTGCATCTCCATGGTCTAGTATTCCTGGTCTCTTTCCCAAACAGCTTCATGACAACATTCCAGTCATGAGACCTGTCTCATTATGTCTCCCATTATGCAGTAAGAGCGAAGCTCTCAGACTGCACAGGGAGCTCTAGTTCCTCCTGCTCATTCCCCATACTGCAGGCATTGGTATATAGAGGCACCTTATAGAGGGATTGGAGTTATGAGAAATAAATAATCTGGTTTTATTATAAGCAAAATTAATTTAGTGGAAAACAGAAGGGGGTGGAATTTTCTTTTCTTTCATTTAATTCCAGGGTTTCTTCAGGCACCTCGTGGAGGCTGTAAGGTGAAAGGCCCCATCTGGGCCTGGCGCCAGGGAAACATTGTGGTTGGGGTAGGGAAAATATAAAAATGGAAAAATATACCCCTGGCCACATGGCCGGCCTTTGTGTGCACAGAGACCCCTCTGTACATGTACAGAGGGGTACATTATCAATCAATCAGGAGGGAGGGTAACAACCCCTCTTGAGTTCGAAAAATTACCTTTTAAGGTAAAATACCTGTCACCTGTTGAATATTTAACAGCTTATGTAACCAAGAAGGTACAAAAGGGCACGTTTTTCAAACGGCAGGGTGCTCGGACCAGGTCACGAGTTCGTGCACCCAGCGCACTGTTAATAAAGTTCATTGTTTCACTGTATTTGGCCGTCTTCTAAATTTCGATTGGAGATATTTCTCACAGAGTGTAGGGGTGCAAGAGGATGCCCCACAGTCAGTCTTTGGCTTTCTGGAGGTATCCCCGCTTAAGCCTTATTTTTCTGGATGGGTGGTCACTATAACTTCCCCCTTCCCCCACCTTTCCCAGCTTAAAGCTCACCTTACCAGGATGGCAAAGACTTAATGCATGTCTAATGGCCCGTAATTCTGCCTCCTGCTACTGTAGGTACTGTTACACTCCTACAGACTCTGCAAGGAGGCTTGGGACCTGGGAGACCTAAGTGAGGGGAAGAAGGAGGGGAGAATGAAGCAGGGAGGAAGAAAGAAAGGGAGGCAAGGGAAAATTGGGAAATAACAGGGAAGAAAAAAACGAGGGTGGGAGAGAGGGAGGGGGAAAGGCCAGGGGAAGATGATGGAATGAAAGAAGGAAGAAAGGTAAAAGAAAGAAGGCAGGTAAAAAGGAATGAAGGCAGGCAGGCAAGAAGGAAAGAAGGAAGTATTGAGGAAAGTAGCAAGAGAAGAAGGAAGATAGGAATTAAGAAGTCAAGAAGGTGGAGAAGTGGGCAAGGAGGACTAGAGGAAAGCAAAAGTCAAAAGGCAGGAAAAAGGGGGAATTTAAGTGTGTAAGTATATAAAGTAAGGACAGAGGTCAATAGTGAAAGGAGGAGGTAGGAAGTAGAGAGTAATAAAGGATGGACATGAAAGGATGGGACAGAAGGATGGATGAAAGGAAGGACAGAGGGGAGGAAGGACAGACGTGCAGTGAGGATGGAGGGAAGTAAGGGGGGTAGGGGAAGGAAAGGAGGAATGTAAAAGAAGAAAGGAATGTGAAAGAAGAAAGCAGGGATGTAGCATGTCTGTAGATATTGTACCTATCTTTGCATGTTATATGCAAAGTCATTTGATTGTAAATAAATTTTGTTTACAGGTTGTCATGATCTGGGGAAATGGCTGTTCATCAGAAGTAATGGAGATAGAAGGGATAGCAGGCAGGAAATAAAAGAGAACTTGGCAATCATGCTGCATAACGTTATCTGCCAACAAAATCAACCAACCTTACCTGGATGGACAGGCTCCCTTACTTAGCCTGGATGAGAAATATGCCATTTTTGTGATTAATAAACAGGCAAATACTTCATCATTCAATCAGTGATGTTCATGGATGAATGAGACTCTCACTGTCCCTACTTACTATGCTGAGAAAGAAACCACAGTCAAGAGAACAGGCTTCTCAAAAATCAGCAGGGAAAGAAGCCCCTGTTGATCACAGCTCTAGTTTGACACTGTGAAGAAACTTCAGAGGTGGGAAGCCCCACAGTTGTGCAACTCAGACCGGTTGCCAGTGAAATACTACTCCTAATTTTTACCACTTACCCAGTGAGGTTTGTGAGTGAGTGAGCCCCAAAGGGCTGACTGCTGATGCCAAGTGCCTGGCACGACCAGCTCCAGTGTCAGGTAGGTAGTTTGACTGGGACTGTACCCATCAAACCATAACACAGGTGTCTTACGAGCTACGGGAGGACAGAAACCTCCCGCAGAGCAGAACAGCAAGGTTTGATCTTGATTTTCAGTACAAATATTGTCCATGAGAGCAGAGACTCACAATCCTTCTGACCTTTTGGGTTTTAAGTACGCATCCAGGAAACAGTGAATGAAGAACTCAAGGCATGAATCTCCACATAAGCAACTTTGGCATCTAGGACATTCTGCTCTGTCCCCCCAACAACCTGGGAAATTCAGGTTGTTCCTGCAAGGAACAAGTGGTCACACTGGGGAAGATGAGGCTGTCTGGGCATCCCCATCATGTCTCTCCCCCTCAAGCGCCCCTGAGAAGAGGGCCCGAAGAGGTGTCACAGGGAACCCACTTGCCACATATGGGCAGCAGGGTTGGGACTTTCACCATGACAGAATGCAGGATTAGGAGCTAAGGGGTGCAGGGGAGTGGAATAATTAGTCCTCTCTCCTGGTCTGTCCTGGCAGTTGGTCCCTGTCCAGCATCCCGTAAGAACCCCAGAGTCCTCCCAGATGATACTCAAGGCTTAAGAGCCCTGTATCTCCAAAACAATCCTACAAACCTCCAAATCACCCCTCAAGCCTGATAGCAGTTCCACATCTGCCTTCTGCTGGGCACCAGATGTTACCACCTTCATCAACACGCAGGCAGTCTTGTCTTGCACCTGCTCCCAGAAACACCAGCCCCACCACCCTGTGTGGTCTGGTCTGCCATCCTCTTTCCATCCCTCCTCATACCTCCTTATGTTCCCTGAACTGCCCACGAAGAAAAAGCCACTTTATAGGGCAGACTGTGTGCCCTGGGTGAGGATTCCAAATCCACACCAATTTCACAAATAACTCCTGGGATGAGCACATTAAGGTCACATCCTCCTCACTTGAGGATATCCTACTCTCCCTCCCCATTCATGTTCCCCACAGACAACAAGGAGGCTTGTGTTAGAAGAAAACTGTTTCTTTTTTTAAACAGAACTTTTTTTCAACCCTTGTTCCTCAGGGTTTTCTTTTTTTTTTTGCAAAGATAAAGTATTATCTGAACAATCTCTGCATATATATATATATAACATATGTTTATACACTTAAACAGTCCTGCAAACTTGTGTCACTCATAGTAGCCTTTCCTGCTTCACAGCAGAGAAGAAAACTCCAACAGTAAAAATGCTGCCCCTCTCAACCAGAGGAACTGAACCACATCCATCTGTGGCTCTGGAGGGAATCCCACCAGCTCCAGATGCGAGGCTTTGACTTGAGTGTAAATGCATCACTCTACAGCGTTTCTAGACACTGGCCATTTTTAAACAGTGCCACACTTACCTGTGCCCAGGGAAGAGCACATCCAAGGACAATGAGCAGCCCTTTAACAGGTAGCAAGTAGTCTTAACTTTGCAGGTGGACTGTGACTTTCTAACTCAATTAAATACCTATAGGCAGAATTGGAGACAAGGAAAAAAGGCAAGGAGGTATCTGAGAGAGGTGGCCACAGGAACACAGACTAGCTGCCCAGAGCAATGTTTCTGCATCTTAAAGAAGAGTCACTGAGCAATTAGCCTCCCAGAGGAAATGTTTTGTTCCACTTGAGAGTTCCTCCCTGCCTTTGAGGAAAAACACTAACACAAACTGGTTGAGACAGAGTAGAGGCAGAGGTCCAGGCTGGCAGGCTGGGTGACAGACCACTTCTATGGTGGTCTTCTAGCTATGATAGCTATCATCATCATCAAAGTAGGAATCACAATCTGATTCATTATCAATCATAAAGTTGTCTTCATCAAGGTCATCATCGTCATCATAGTCTTCCTGCCACTGTGGATCATACTCCTCATCTTCAACCTCTTTGCCACCTTCATCTGTGTTGGGGGAGTCACACAAGATGGTACGATTTTGCCTGTTGAGAAGGAGAGCATCAGAGCAGAGCCCCAGCTGTGAGAAGCAACCACAACCCAACCCCACAGCGCCCTACTACAGAGGTTTTGCTGGTTTCCCTACACCACTGTCACTTAAATTGTTACCTCAAACCACAAAAGAAGATGCAAGTAATTAGTATCTGTCATTCATTCTTTTGTATGTCAGTGAGCACAGGAGAAAACTCTGCTCACCTGCTTTTTGTCTGCACTTATCCACTTTTTATCCAGCTAAGAAAACTCACCCTGTATAGGCGAGGGCTGAAGTAGGCACATTTGCGAGTTTCAACTTTCTCTGACCAGGATCTCCTGAAGACTGGAGCCCAACATGGAAATCCTGCTAGCATGAAAGAACAATCAGAAGAGAGAGAGAGAGACAATATGCAATTTGGGGTGTATTTTGTGCTGCAAACCCCTTCCCTACACACACAACCCTTAGAGTCTAATCCCTCAGCTGACTAAGCCCCTTGTCTTGCCCACAATCAAATTAGACCAGAGCAAGACAAGCCACTATCAGGCATGTGAACTTCACCTGTGTGGAGTGCCAGAGAATTGCAAAGAGACGCTCCTTGATCTGGTGTACCAACTCCAAACCGGCACTAAAATGCTCTGCTTTCAGAAGCTGAAGAGAAGAGGCCAGGTCTTGGTACTGCAGCAGAGTTTCCTCTGCAATTAAAGACCAACAAAGTCATGTTGCATCACACACTCTTAAGCAGAGACCAAGTCTTTGGCTCTGACTATGAAGCCAGCCACAGCTACTTAGATCTCCTGTGCACATATGGCACATTGCAGAACGGAACATGTTGCTCTTTACTGCATCAATCTCCATTGGCAGCCAAATTGTGCCAGTGGACTTCCCAGAAATTACATCAAGAAGGCAAAAATGGGCTGGGAGAAGTGAGAGGCCAGCTAGGTGCTGGTGTGTATGCTATTGTCCCACTACATAGCTGCTGCTCTTCGAACCATACAGTTTGGAACACTAGTCGCTACTTTAAAGAGGCTGCAGGACTTACCCAGAAGGATTTGCAGAGCATTAGTGAGCAGCTCTAGGCTCTCAGCCTGCTGTTCCACAATATCCATGCTCTCAGTGTCCTGGTTATAGTAGCTGTACACACAGGAGTAAGCCAGCACCTGGAACAGTACAGATCATGCTGTTAAGCACCCTCATCCAGCTTCAGAGTGGGCAAGAAGTGAGCAGCATCAAACCCTTCCAGACCTCATTGCTATCAGTGGCTGAAAGAAGCCTGGCAGCACTTCTGGTGTGTGGCCACAGCCCAGTGACCCATTATGCCAAGTGACAGCAGTGCCAGGCTACCTAGAGCTTGTCACAGGATTGGAAATGAATGTGCAATTATTTTATATTGAAGTCTGAAAGAACTGATTGTTTCCACCTGCAAACCATCATGAGAACACAGACTGTAAATGCATAACAAGTGTCACTGAACAGCAGGCAAAGAGTCAAAACCACCAGCACACACGACCTAGGCATTGCTGGGCAGCCCAGGCTGAACTCAAGTGGCAATGAACTGAGGGAATGGAGCACAAAGGGAAGCAGGCATGGTACTATAGAGCACCAAGAGCCCACGACAAAGGGGTTTCAACAAGTGTCAAACTCCTATTATGAAGGAATGACCCCTAAAGCAATCTAGGCAAACAGCAGGAAGCAAGATCACTGTTTCCATTTAAAGAAATGGGCCAGAAAATTCAGCAGCAGCAACAAGCAACAGTGAAATGTATCCTGGAAAACACAGGGGCTACCGTGCTGAAAAGATAGTATAGGGTCAGGCACCCTTCTTCCACATGCCTTTCTCAAAGTCAAGCCTGAGTGCAAAAACAAGGTGTATATGCAAAGTCAATATCACAAGACAATTCCCACCCCCTGACTATGTTTCAGGGGATAGCAGGCATTACAGGCCTAAGCTGTCACAAGCTTACTGCACACTTCCAGTGGCTGCACTGCAAATCCTTTTTAATTCCTTGTTTGGAATATGTCAAGGTTTGTGTCTCCTCATGTCTCCTCACTTTAAGAAAGGCATAAAACACACTAATAGAATTAGGTCTAAACCTCACCAGGACTGTTATCCAGCCTTACCTTCCGTGCCTGTTCTAGCACTTTGCAGGCATCAAGAACAAAGGTCAAGTTCCTAATTTTTGGCATCTCTCTGATGGAAGAAATACTGTTCCTCAGACTCGTGGCAAATTCCTGCAATAACCAAAGGAGAAAAAAAAAAAGCCAATGTCAGTGTCAAGCTCTACAAGATTGAAAAAAACAGCACCTTCCACACAGGTAATTGCTAAGCATCCTGAAGTGCCATCCCAGAAGATGCAGACAGCAGCAGAGCATTTAATGCATCCAACTATGACATCTTTGTCACTGTGCCATCACTTCAACCTTTTACACTACCTCAGCTCTAGGCAAAATTCTGCCTTCAGTCACCATTGCTTCCAGCTACTGCATCACTTTGAGTCTGTGAACGCCACAAGTCAGGTGCTCAGTTTCCACAACAGATTTGGTAGAAGAAAGCAGGCCAAGGACTACCCCTTATGTCAGAGCAAGGGTGAAATGGTCAGGCATCCCGACCTGGACCTGAAACCTGCTTCTCAGCAGAGAAGGCGCTGATACATAACAGAAGCTGTCTTGATCCCCAGGGCTAAGGCAACAACAGCATCTGCAAAGGAATGAGGCCTTACCCTTGCGTGATGATGAAAGGTGCATCTCTCATTGTAATCCTGAAAACGCTTCTCCTGCCAAGCTGCTTTACTCACCTGAAAGGAAAGGTAAAAGTAACCTGTAGCAATTTCTCTGAAGTACTAGGGCTGCCTGGAAATGGCTACCACACACAGAGACTTTGACAATGCTGTTAGTGTTACTGGCAAGCACAAAAGTCCAGAGTAAAGGACCCAAGTGGAGATCCTCACCCTCTCTCTGAGAGGCTGGGTGCTTCTGAACACAGGCATGAACCACAGGGATACAGCAAACCACTCACCATAGCAGAGCAGTTGTAATAATCCTTATGATTCGGTCTCCAGGGCTTGAGGCAACGCCAACAGAAGCCATGACTACACTTTGCACATGTCATACTAAATGGCAGGAAAACAACAATAGAAATCACTCAGACCTAAGAGCCACTTGCAGACAGTTCCTTCCAGTGCTCCTACATCACAGCACTGGAGTGTGCCACGCAGTCAATCCCATTCCCCCAGTATATTTTTTAAAGCCTTTCCTAGAATCAGATGATGCTTAAAACCAGCCAATGTCTCCAAAAATGAGATGGGTAAACTGGCAGCATGATCTCACAGTAGCTTATCAAGTACTCAAAGGGTGACTAAGCACTCCACAGTTTGAAGCAAGATCCACATGAGCACCTCAGCCTTCCCTCACTCATGTAGCACTCCACACAGTGCAGAAAGGCACTGCACTGCCCTAGGGCCACACATCACATGTGGGGACAAATCACAGCTGGGCATTAAGGGCTGTGTCAGTGCAAGAGAGAAACAAATGGCAACTCCTAAGCCCTAGTTTCAAAGTTGGAGGTAATTCCCCTATCATGTAAAAAGCTGCCAGAGATCCAAGTTGATTCAAAACAAACAGTCGAAAGAAAATTGCTCTAAGTTACAGGAATAGGTGAGCATGAAAGAAAAAATGGTGCTGAGCTATCCACTCCCCTAACCTTTACTTCTGTATGGCTATAGTGGATTCTGAGAGCAGACAAGAGTACAAGGTATTGCAAAATCAGTTCTATCACGGAGCCATCAACAGATTTAACTTTGAATGCTGGGGAACATTTTGCTTTTCTAGGAATTAAAAGCAATCACTCATTCTCCTAAACTGTAAACCAGACCTGCTATAACAATTGAGTAATTGTCAAAAAAAAAAAGAAAAAAAAAAAGCAAAGCACAGTGGACCTAACTGTTTTTGCCCTCTCCTGTCTCCAGTAGCAAGCAAAAATGTATACTCACTGCAGGCAACCCTCATTTTTCTCTATCTGAGCCTGGCAGTTTGGGCAGTGCTTCGAAATGAGCTTAGCCAGATGTTTGCTTTGGGCTTCACTTGTCATTCCTTCATAGTATCCATCATCATCTACCCACTGAGACATGTGGCTGCAGCTGGCAGGATAATGGGCCTGAAAGGGAGACAGTCAACCACACAAAAGCAGAATGGCGCCTGCCAAACCTAAGACAGTATTGCTCATGATTCGGTTCAGCCTCACCTCTGGGAAGTTGCAGTTGAAGCAGGATATCCAGGAGCACTTGGAACAGGCTGCTCCATAACCAAGTCCATCCTTAAGGAGGATCTGATCACAGCCCTGAGGGTTGGTGCACCATGTCAGGTTGGAGCAACACTCAACATAGCGTCTGAGGAGGGCTTTTTCATACTGTAATAAGAAGCCAGGAAGGAGATTTAAGGCAGAGAAGCTGCATGGTTAGGCCTTACAAGCAGGGTCTGGAGCCTGTGGGCTATACGTCTCACAAAACAACTGCTCACAACAAAACAGCACTCAATTAGTTTATTCTTTCATTCCCTTTGTGTAAATTTCCCCATCCCCACATGTCATATCTGGAGGCTGTTTCATTTCACAGAATTGCTGAGGTTGGAAGGCATTTCTGGAAATAAAAACTAGACCAACCTCTCCAGCTCAAAGTAGGATTGCTCGAGATCGTGTTCAGTTGGGTTTTGAATATACCCAAGGACAGAGACTACAAACATCTCTGCCCAACCTGGTCTAACATTTCATTACCCTTACTATTAAAAAAACCCTCAACAACCCAAAAAACAGTATTCTTACATTTAAATGGAATTCCTTGTATATAACTTAGTGCCCACTGCCTCTCATCTTTCACTGGACATCATGAAGAAGAATCTGGCTCCTTAATCTCATTTGTGAATTTACACATGTTGATAAGATCCACTCCTGAGCCTCCCCTTCACCAGTCTAAACCAACCCACCTCTCCCAGCTACTTCAAGAGGTGCTCCAAAACCTAATTCATCTTTGTGTCCTTTTGCTGGATTCTCCCCAGTATGTCCATGTCTGTCTTGTCCTGGTGAGCCCAGAAAGGGCCATAGTACTCCAGATGTTGTCTCACCAGCACTGGGTACAGGATCACCTTCCTCAACCTGCTGTCACTGCTCTTTTCGACATCAACCTAAAACACTAGTGGACTTTCTTAGCCATGAGGGCACAATGCTGGCTTATGTTCAATTTGGTGTCCACTGTGATCCTTTTTCTTATTCCTGCAGAGATGTTTTCCAGATGGTTGACCCCCAGCACATCCTGTTGCATTGGGTTATACTGGACTTCGCATTTCCTTTCGTTGAACTTGGAGAGGTATGTTTTAACTTCAGCATTAGATCTTAACACAATAATCTAGTTATTTTGAAAACAGGATTGAACTAGACAATGATGTGGTAATTTCTGCCATCTTCACAAAAACCTGTGGTGCTCAAAGCCAGAGACTGATGGAAGAGAAATGACATAGAAGTCACCGATGCAGCAATAAAATGAAATTGCTCACGTTTTCCTTTGTCCTAGATCTTACAATTGCTTCTAGCACACCAGTAGAGGACACTTGTCATGAGCTGCTACCACAGCTTTCACCTGGGCCTGAACTAATGATGCACCTGAAAGGTTATTTTCTGGAGATATACTTAGAGGAAATACCACTGTGCTCTTTTGTTGACATTATGCTTTCTTGAATAGCTGGTATTGGTCATAATCAGAGATAACAGACACCACTGGGCAGAAATCTGGTTGGCCTCAATTATCACAGTGCCAGAGTTAGTAACAGGAAGGGGAGAAGCAGCAGCAAGATTATTTGATAGTGCTGACCAAAATGAAACAGAGCTCAGACACAAAGCAACCACCTCTCCTACTTCACCTTCGCTATGATCTCCTCAGAGGACACGATGGAGTAAATGAAGGCTGTGGTTGGCTGTGCACAGCACTCGGATATGGGACAGGTGCAGTTGACAACCATGTTCTGTTCAATGCGAGTCGTGAGATATTCACTCCAACAGGGCTGTGAAGGCAGAAAAGAGGAGATGAGACCCTGGAAGCCTTCCCCACCCAGCAGAGGGTACACAAAACCCCTGGGTAAGTAGCAAACCCATGGGTAAGTACTCAAAAGCACAAAAGTGGGAACAGACAAATCAGGAGCTGAAGGATCACAACAAAAAAGGGACCTGAGAAAAGAGAATGTATCAGCTCTGAAAATCCTCTGATAACATCTTCAGACAAAGAACAGCTGCTCCAAGTAGGCAGCAGCAATTCCCCAGCAAGTCACAGGAATCAAAGACCCCAGGACCTTCACCTTGCAGCAGTAGTGCATGCAGCAGAGGGTTGGTGGCTTCTCAGTGGGACACAGCTGGTTCACACAGACTGGGCAGTGGGTTCCAGGGCTCGGAGGAGGCTGGACATCCTGCACTTGCAGCCCCGAGGAGATGAGCAGAGCATCACGGTTCTCCACATAGCACTGGATCAGGAAATCCACGTTCCACCTACAGTGCATGAGGAGGTGCCGAGCAACGTCATCCGATATGCTCAGAGTGTCCTGGACCTGCTGTACTGTCTGGTTCATGAGCAGCTTTGCCTCCTCTGGACTAAGCGTGTGCCCCATTGGCACCTGCAGCATTGCCATAAGATATTCTTCCGCCCTGTCTATGCCAGGATTCAACCTGACATGGAAAAATGTGTCATGTTCATATAGGGTGGAGATGCACACCCCTCCACACCTGGTGACATGCCTCCCTACCAATGCAGGCTGTCTATGCTGTCCTCATCTGGAGATGCCTGTGGTGGCCTGCAATGGAAAGTCATCTGTGCCTGGCCCCCAAGAGGTGTCGTAGGTTCAGCAGAGATGTATTCCAAGACATGAGGCCTCCCCTCCTGGCGCCGGAGATAGCCCTGGTTCAACAGGTGCAGGACGCAGGACAGCACGTCCACGCTGTGGCAGCAGAAGCTCAGGAACTGCACACCTGGCCCCAACCTGCCCTTCTGACAGGCATCAATGGTTCAGCCGCAGTGCACCTGGAGCCAGCACCCAACCCAGGGTCAGCCAAGCCTCCAGCAGGGACTTGAAGGAGCCCCAGGACACATGTGTGGCTGCTGGACCCAACCTGAGCCTCCCCCTGCTGCCCCCACAGTTGGCCGCCACAGCCCTGTCCCCCACACATGGCCCCAAGCAACAGCCACGCACACAACCCCATCCCTGTCTCCAACCCCACACACAGACCTGAGACACAACCATCCACGCTGACCCACACCCCAAGCATGGCCCCAAGCCCCAGACCCACACACCACTCCCAACCCTACACCTGGCCTAATGGCCCCAACCTGCCACACAGACCCGCACCCCCAGAACCACCAGACCGACCCACCCCAGCCCACTCACTTGCCGTACGAGTTCGTGCACCCTAAATCCCAGCACCTACTCAGGGCTCAGAGCAGCACCTCCCCAGGGGTGCCCCGGCCCCACATTCACCTCCTGGCATGCAGCTCTGCACCAGGACGCCCTGGCCGTGGGTCAGCGGTGTCAGCGCGTGGTGCACCAGGTCAGCAGGGAGCCCTGTAGCCTGCAGCAGGGCCTCCACAGTCACCTCCTGCAGCAGGGCATGGGAGGTGAATGGCTGGCCAAGACCTACTGGCCGCAGGCCCAGCTGAACAAGGGTGTCCTGTGCCCCAAACACTGCTGGAGACCCCACTGGAAGGGAAGGGAGGACACAGCCCCGCCATGCTCTGGCAGCCACTGCCTCCCTCCCCCACTGTGGCCCCAGCTCCTACCTCGGCACTGTTGAAGCACAGCAGGATGTACATCTGTAGCGTGGACACGTGGAGGACACAGTCTCCAAACTGCAGCTCAGCGTGGCCCAGCCATGTCCACTGCAATCGCTGGGGCTTTGTGCACTCCCAGCCCAGCCGGCTCTGGCCTGCCAGGGACACTGTCAGTACAAGGGCCAGGGACCAGCCCCAACCGGCACTCCCAGCCAGCACGCCGCCACTTCTGGCTGAGCTGCTGGGGAGGGTCTGGGCCCCGGCGAGACCCGCACGCACACCCACTGCCACAGCACTCACTCTGCTGGCAGAAGTCGGCAAACTCATCCAGGGGGGAGCTCAGCGTTGCTGAGAAAAACCTCCCAGGGTTATCCATGTAACAGAGTGGGGAAACAGGCCAGCAGCGCGGGGACAGGGCCAGGACCTTCACCTCTGGCACATCTGTCACCGAGGCTGTCTCCAGCACCTGGGCACGGGGACATGAGGGCAGCTGAGCTCAGGCTGCAGGATCCCCATGAGGAATGCTGGTGGTCTCCAGCCTCCCCACCCCACCCTCTCACCTCATCCAGGCCCTTGTCCAGCTCCAGCAGCCGCTTATCCTGCTCCTGCAGCTGGAAGAGGTAGAACTGCCGCTGGAGCTCCTCTGACTCAGCCAAGTTGCTCAGCATATCTTGGGGAAAGCGGCTGGGGAAGCACAGCCCAATCTGCTCCACGATGCCTCCTTCCAGCCAAGACGGTCCTTGTGTCAGGAGCCGGTCTCCCAGGTAGTGCCTGCCACAGCGCCAGCATCACGTCAGGGTTGGGCCCCAGCCCTGTGGTCACCAGCCACCCGCCAGGAGACAGACACAGCCCCGGCCTCACCCCATGCCACACAGGCCAGCAGCACACATGTAGGAGGCGTGTCCCAGGGGTGCAGAGGGACGCACCGGGGCAGGGAACGTGAAGGGACATGCGCTGGGACAGACAACCCCATTGGTTCTAAGGTCACATGGTTTTAGGGGATAAAAGGGAGCGCGAGACTCAAATAAAGTCTCTTTGATTCCAGCACATCAAAGAGCGTACTCATTCTTTATCATATAAAGACCTCTACGCTACACACACACATGCAGGGAATGTGCCTTTGCAGACTGGCAGCACCCACGGGTCCTCCACACACCAGAGCCGGGAAAAGCAAAGCGGGAGCACCACTGCCACACTGGGCCAGGCTCCCCCACCACGCCACACCACCCTGCACCAGGCCCCTGGTTCCACGGAGACACAGCACCCTCACCTGTAAAAGTGCTCGAAGGTATGGGCGAGCTCCAGGCCACTGAAGACAACAAAGGGCTCCAAGAACTGCTGCAGCCGCTCCAGCGGCCCTGTGCTGCCCTGTGCTGCCCTGCGGAGCTCCTGGATCTGCACATCAAGGTAGCGGGCAAACTGCTCACTCACCTGTGAGGAACAGGGCTGGCTGTGGAGGGGACTCACAGGGTGGCCACAGTGCAGGCCTCAGGGAATGTCCCTTGGGGGAGCAGTTGGGAAGCTCTGGCACTCTCAGGTGGGGGTCAAGGGTGCCCAGGCATCAGGCCAAGGCACGAGTGTGCTGGGGCCAGGCCCACATCGTGATGAGCGCCACACACCCGCAGCTGGGGACCGTCTCAGGCTGCCGCAGGGCTCTGTGACTCAGTGGGGACAAGCACACCACCCACCCAGAGCTCGCCCCAAGGCCATGGGCCAGGGCAGCTCCCCAGCCTGCACCCGCCTGGGGCCACGGTACCAGTGCTGCACTCCCTCGACTCACATGCAGGGCAGTCAGGAAGGAGAGCTGCAGCAAAGCCCCTGCAAAGCCCTGGCCCAGGGCCAGCATGAAGGCGGCCTGCTGCCCAAAGAGCTCCTCTGTGGCACTGCGCAGGCGCTGGTACAGCCCGCAGTATTGCTCCGCAAGGTCTGGCACCTGCCCTGCTGCCTCCAGGAACTGCTGCACCTGTGGGACACAGAGCGAGAGGGGTGAGCCCCACAGCGGGATGTGCCCGTGGGAATGTCCGCAGCCTCAGCCTTGCTCTGCCAACATTGACTGCCCGGGTCCCAGCCAGGGGCCAACTCGGGGCCCTGTCACTGCTGCAGGCTGCCAAGAGCTTGTGGAGAGGGCTGAGCAGGGTCTGTGAGGGAATGACAGAGGCACAACAGCAGCCCAGCAGGAAATCAGGGGTCTGACACTGCACCTTTCTCTTGGCCTGGCAGCATCAGCTTGGGTGCAGGGCCTGGTTGACACCTTGCCAGGGTGGCAAGTGCAGCAGAGCTGTCCCCACATTGCTCTGGGCTCTGTGGAGGCCTGGTACAGCCCTATGCCCTCCCCATGCTCCCAGGGCACTGCCAGGCCTCACTCTCTGCTCCACCCACCCACTGTGGGTCCCACATGCCCCTCCCGGCCGGCCCTCCAAGCTCTACCTGCTGCTGCACCACGCCACGCCAGCACTGCGAGATTCCCCACAGGCCGCTCGACTTCTCCACCACTGCCTTCGCAGCCCTGGCCGGCACCTCCTTGTTCTTCCCTGCCTTCCCACCTGCCAAGGGTCGACCCTGGGGTCAGCGTGGCTCCGTGGGCAGGCCCCACACACTGATCGACCACAGCAGGCCAGAGGGGACGCTGGGCAGGCATGGCCATTGCTGGGCCATGACCACAAGCCTTTCCTGCCTCAGGAGCCTCCTGTGCCACAGAGCCCCCCCAAGACAAGCCCCACGGCCACAGCCTGACATCCTGGACCACCGTCAGCCCAGCCCCACTGGGCTCACCAGCTGCTCTTGTCTCCTCCGGCTCTGGGCCACCAGGGTCCACGTGCACCAGGAGCTGGGTCAGGCGCCGCACACAGGATCCAAAGGCAGCCCTGTGTCCCCTGGCACGGTGGGGCGGCTCCACGTTCTCCAGGTACTCCCTCAGCAGCCAGGCCAGGGGACTGACACCATCAGGGTCTGCGAGGTCAACCAGACTCAGAGCCAGCTGCCTCTGCCTGGGGCACAGCACGGATGGGCCCCGGAGAGCGCAGGGTACCTGGGCTAGTGATGCTTTGCACCAAGGGGTTCACCAGGGCCTCCCAGCACGTCCTGCCCAATGCCCGGGCTGCCTTGTCATCAGGAAGGAAGCGGTCGGCGAAGCCCTGCTCGTGCTGCAGCGCCCGGTTCAGTCTGCAACAGCAACCAGGCAGCACACGGTGCCAATGGCTGGGAGAACTCCCATGGGAAAGCAGAGGGACGTGGTTGCTGCCTGCTCTGCCCCTTGCCAGGCATGATGGCTCATGGCCCCACTCGCCCCCAGCAGCCAGGGCCCCTTGCTGCCCCTGGGACCTGCCCGCAATGGCCCTTGGGCCAAGCTGGGGGGCTCTGCAGTGCCTGTGGCCACGAGATCCTGCTGCGCCTGGCCAACCTCTGCCATGTCAGCATGTGCCAGCTCCCGTGGGGAACCAGCACCCCTCTCTGGTGGGTTAACCGAGCCCACACACCCACCCTAAACCTGGGGGACCTCAGGTGGCCCTGGTCCTCTGGGAGCACTGGTGGCCAGGAAGGAGTGAGGGCCCCTCCCTGTCCAGGCAGCACAGCCAGCTGCTCCCTTCCTAGCCCTGCAGTCCCCTCACGAGCTGCCAGCAACACCCCCTGGGGCCCTGGGACACCTGTGATGACACAGCCAGGAGACAACTCACCTGCCAAAGAGTTGCAGCAGTTGCCCTCGGTCCCGGCAGATCTCCTGGCCCCAGGCGTGAGCCTGAGCAGTGCAGGAGAGGAATGTCCGCCAGCACAGCTGCTCCTTGAAGACGGGCCAGAAAGTGGGCTTGGGACCCAGCACCTCGATGCCACGCACACGTGTGTCAATGCCACCCTACAGGAGAGCATGACCCTCAGTTCCTCAGGCACAGCCCTGACACCCCCCACTGCCAGCTCGCTGGCCTGGCCCCTGCTCCCCTACCTGCTGGCACCGCTTCACCCGGATCTGGATGATGGGCCAGAAGTGGGTCATGTTCTCCAGCAGGATCACTCTGCTGTCTGAAGGCAGGATGGTAACCTGCAGGCAGTGAGCCCTCAGCATGCCAGGCAGCCACACCCTCCCATGGCCAACCCCTATTTTAGCCACAGCCTCTGTACCCCCCAGTAGCCTCTCACACCGGGGCCAGACCTCCACAGGGCACAGCAAGGACCAGCCTGCTGCTCCCATGGGGACTCACTGTGTTGAGCTCCGTTCTGATGGTGGCAGGGCTGTCCCCACCCAGCACCACGACGCGGGATGGCATATAGCTGGAGTCCTCACTGGCCACCAGCATGCTCATCTCCCTGCAGCACAGCAAACACAGGGCTGCCCAGCAGTTCCCACCTCCCTGCCCTGGCCCTTGACATTCCCACGTACTGCTGTCCATGTCCGCTACCCCCAGGACAGGGACCACTGTGGCAGGGCTTGCACAGATCCCCAGAGCCCTCTCCTCCATACACAGCCCTCTCAGTCTTCCTGGCCCAGCCCCACCTGATCACCACACCACACTGCATGTGCACAGTGATGAAGTGGGAGCCAGTGCTGCCATTTGACTCCCAGTATGTCTTGGGGTTCCTGTCCGTGAGCTTGTTGGCCTGGTGTGGGTTGGAGGAGACCTGCACCTTCTCCCAACACTTGTCTTCCTTTACCTCCATGCTGGAGCCTGTGGGGAGAGAACACAGAGCCTTCAGCCACCAAGCCAGCACATGCCAGCACAGGTGTCAGTTCCCACTCCCAGCACTCACCTCGGCACAGGTTTTGCAGGAAGACATCAAAGAAGGGGATGGTGATGGGCTGGTGACTCCGGCGGTGCTCCTCAATCTGCCCCAGGACCAGCTACAGGATGGGGCGAGGCTCTTACTGGGGACCCCGAGTCCTCTCCCCTCCCCCACCGCAGAGCTGCGGCCAGCAGAGAGCAGAAGGCTGTCCCTCAGTGCTGGGGACAGCCTGATGGCCCCAAGACCCAGAGTCCCAGCACAGCTGGGCCTCCCCAGGCCCACCTGGATGCAGCCAGCCAAGATTCTGGTTGTCAGCTTCTTGTAGAGGCTGGCGTACTTCTCACAGTCCGTCACCAGGTTGAGCAGGGCCGGTGCGAGCAACGGAGCCACACTGTGCTTTTCCAGGGCTTTGGACAGAGCCTCATGGGTGCCCACGTGGCACATCACCACCACACAGTCCTCGCTGGCAGTGGCCAGGCGGTGCAGGAAGCCAACGACCTCCTGCAGCACCTGCTGAGCCACAGCCCTGAGCAGCCGGGGCAGTGCCAGGAACTCCCCTGGCACCCCCAGCTGTGGGTGCTGCAGCTCCATCCCCCCCACCCCCACCGCACCAGTGCCCACCAGAGTCTGGCCAGGCACAGCGCTGGGCACGTGGCCATCAGGACATGGACACGGCCAGGGCAGCTGCTCCCCACCTCTCCCAGCACGTTAGACACAACAAGGCCAGGCTGGGACCTGCTTCACCAACGCTGGGCCCGGCCAATGCACGGCACAACCAGCACAGCCAGTACAGCCAGCACAGCTGCCCTTGCCTGCCCGGAGTCCCAGGGCCCCCTCACCTCCCAGCTGCTGCTGTGGGCGCTCAGGGAGGACACACAGGGCTCCACACACTCGTGCCAGGGCAGCACATCCTCCTGATAACTGTCCAGGAACTTGTTCAGGATCCTGAGTGACAGAGGGCGCATGGACAGCAGTGCCAGAGGCGGCTCTGCTTCCCTGCCCCACTTGGAAGGCACCATTCAGGGACTGGTAACCAAGGGTCCCCTTGTACCCCAGACACCCCATCAGCAGCCAGGCACATCCTGTGCTGCCCCTGCATGTCCCCACCAGCACCCAGACACATCCTGCTCTGTCCCCTACCCAGGACAACCCAATCAGCACCTGCTTATGTGTTGGGGTGCTCCTGCCCCTGCCCCTGGTGAAGAACACCCCCACCAGGACCCACAAACATGTGCCATGTCTCCCCAACATCACCATCAGCACTCACACACCTGCTGAGGGGGCCCCAGACCCCCACCAAATCCCCCTGCACCCACCTGAGGATGCTCAGGCTCACAGCCTTCTCCGCCCCCAGCAGCTCCAAGCTGCGCAGCAGCAGCCTGAAGCAGCTGTGGTCCTGCAGCAGCTGGGACACCTGCCCAGAGGGGACAGGGCCTTCACCACAGAGCTGCCGTTCCAGGGCCACCACCACCTCCTTGGACAAAGTGCCATCCTCCAGGCTGCCCAGAAGCATCCGCACACCCTTCAGGTCCAGTGGGGCCTCTCTGCCTGCCATGACAAGGACACGTGGGCCCAGCTCAGGCACTGGCTTGAGAGGCAGCAGCCTCTTGGGGTGCTCTGCCCTGGCAGGCGAGGCAGCCCTGCCTGCGGCACCCGTGGAGCCGTGGCATGGGGAGGATGGGCAGCGCGGTACCTGCTGCCTCCAGGCCCAGGGGCAGCCCGTGCTCTGCGAGGCGGTTGATGGCGCGTAGGGCCAGCACCGCATGAGGGCAGCCGCTGCTCTGCCCGTCCCTCCAGCAGCTCTGCAGCACCGCCAGGAGGTCACAGCTCGCCAGCTGCTCCGCCAGGCCCCGGTGCCCATCCATCAGCATGTTCACCACCAGCAAGCCGTTCTGCACTCCTGAGGAGCCCCTGCAGGGACAAAGCCATGCGGGCACTCTCCTCCCCCAGGCACAGAGCCTCCCCTGAACCCACAAGCCACCTGCCTGCCATGCCCATTCCTCCCCACTGCGGAGGGTCCCCCCAGCCCCAGCTGCTGTCCGCACTCTGCCCCTACCCTGGGACCCTCTGCATGGTGCTCAGGGCAGCAGGGATAGTACTCAGCAGACTGGCAGAGCCCTCGCTGGAGGCAGAGCCGATGCTGGCAAAGATCTCCCGCATCATCTGCACATCAGCATGGTTCCAGGACAAGGACTTCCCACCTGCTGGCTCACCATCTGCAGCTCCCACCAGCACCTTCAGGGCCTGCGAAGACAGCAGTGGTCCAGAGGGCAGCGGGCATCTCCACCACACCTGGGTGAGCCTGCACACTGCCTGCCCACATACAGCATCCCCTCTGCCACTCACCGCCAGGCCAGCCTGCTGCACCAGGGCGGAGGAGCTGTGCTGCTGCATGCAGGCCAGCACGGCCCGCACGCCGCCCTCCGTGGCAAACGGCACACGCCAGTCGTGCTGCGCCATCAGCACGGCCAGCAGCCGCAGCATCACTGCCACCAGCGCCTTCTCTGCCACCTCAGTGCTCAGCAGCTCCACTGCCACTTGCACCAGCTTCTCCCTGCTTGGGAAAGGATACCTCAGGAGGAGCCTCCTGGCACTGCCGCTGGCACACCAGCACCTTGGGCCCTGCCAGCCACCTCCTCTCTGCCCACACGGCTCTGCCACAGCTGGGTCAGCCCAAGGAATGAGCCTGCCTGGGACAAAGGGACACAAAATCCACTCTCCTCTTGCCAAGCATGCAGGGACATACCAGCCTGCACTCCCACTGCCACCTCCTGTACTCCCAGCTCCAGTACTGTCCCCCACCGTGCCGACACAGCCCTCCCCAGGCAGCAGGAGGGGTGTGCAGCACCCCACGGCTTACCCAGCGCTCCCGGTCCCCAGCCTGCCTTGGGCTGTGCCAACTTGCTGCTCAGACTTGGGCTCCTCCTCCAGGATCTTCAAGATTTGCTTGAGCCCAGCTAAGCGCAGCCCCACCGCTGAGCTGCTGCTCTGGATCACATCCACCATGGCTGCAATCTCGGCCAGCGAGCCGCTCTCGCTCACCCCTTTGGAGCTGCCCAACACTGGTCAGATGGAGGGAGGCATCAGGGCAGCATTTACACCCCCAGCAGCTCCCAGGGTGCCATGCATCCACAAAAGCAGCACCCACAGGCCACCCCACCAGCTGCCTGGCCCCCCATGCCCTGCCCAGAACCTTCCTCTCTTGAGGCAACAGTGCCACTTCCAGCACTGCGTGTGTGCCCCAGCACGTAGCAGGACACTACCTTTGATCTGCTCCTCCGTCACCTCTGGGAAGCACAGCCCTTCACTCCTAAGGAGCTCGCTGAACAGCTGGGAATCGGACTTCGCCACGCTGGAGGCTTGGGGCGGTACTGTGGCTGCAGAAAGGTCTTCCTTTGCTGCCTTGGCCATCGTGGCTTCACAGCCAATGCTCCTGCAGCCACTGCCCTCTGAGGACACTGCGGTGCTCCCCCCACCATCCTGCTCAGCTCCCCTACTGAGCAAGTATCTGGCATACACGCGGCAGCCACGCAGGTCACGCAGAGTGCTGCCCTGGCACCGCTTCTCCAAGACCTGCAGCATCTTCTGGGCCAGCTCCACAGGTACCGACAGCCGGATCAGGGCTTCTTCATCCACCTCCAACAGCCAGACCAATGGGGCCGAGTTAATCTTGGACTCACCACAGACCTCATGCCCCTTGTGATAGCCAGTGGCGGAACTGATGGAAAGGCTGCACCGCTGGAGCTCCCCGGGGCCATTTCCCAGTGCCACCCTGGCTGTCCCCAACTCAACTGCCACCAGCCCAGACTTCCCACCTGCACTCACCACCCAACTGCAACTGGCAGAATGACCCCATGGCCTTGCCTCACCTACCCAAACCTCACTCAACAGTCACTCTTCCAGTCATGGGAGACTGCGTTTCCTCTCATCTCCCCTCATAGTTTTGCTGGGACAAGCTCCCCATGGTTTTGCCATCCCCATTCACCCTCCCATTTCTGTCCCATTTCTACCCCATTCAGGTTGTCCCTGCATAGCTCATGTTTGCCATCTCCACTGGTCCTGGTCCTTTCCCTAATGTTCTCCCTCGCTTTCTCCCTCCCATCTCCTCACTGCAGGCACTGGCCCATACCTGCTCTCCCTGGTCATGCTGGATGAGAAAGGTGATCTCTTTCTGCTCCTGTGCTTCCAGCTTCTTCACAAAGAAGAGCAGCTCCCACCACTCGGCACGGCTCAGGGCCTCTGCAGCCTTGGTCGGCGGCTGCCCCAGGTAAGGCAGGGAGTACAGACCTCCCAAGGGCTTGCACAAAAATGGTTGTGCAACTGCAGAAGAGCAGAGCAAGGAAGGGCACTGTCAGCTCTGCCAATTAATTCCCCCATCCTCTGCTGCACACCCCACATTTCAATTCAATTTCTATATGGGATATGATGACTGGAAAGAGGTATACACAGAAGTGAAACAGAGCTCATGCTTCTCCCAAAATCAGAAAGACTGAGAAAAGTGTAACCAAGTTCATTTTAACACTTTGAACTGACATGAAGTCTCTATTTACAAGAGCTAGAAGCCATTAAGGAAGCCATCTTTTCAACTGGTAATACAAATATTTTGAAAGTGAGTAATTAGCTGCTGATCTCATCTACATTCTCTCTCTTGCAACAGTTAAATCCAAACCATTCTACACAAAAGATGTCCAAGAAGATCACAGCTATGATAAAAAAGTTACTTTAACGCGTTTCCCTGGCCAGAGCCATGTCAGACCTGAACAAGAAAGGTGTATCTAAAGTCTGGATTCCCCTTTTATCTTCTCCCAGTACAAGGGCAATGCCAAAGGATTCTAGTAGATGCTGCAGATGTCTTATGAAAACAGTGCTTTAATACTCACCTTGTCCAAAGCTTAATGGTATGAAATTAAACAAATTGTTGCTATGTTAATGCTTTTAAAAATCCTCATCACTTATTTAAGGGGATTTGAGTGTCCCTAAAGCAGCTTCATCTCAGGGAAATTCCACATTTGTGTTTTGGCAATTTGTTCAATTAATTCAAACACACAGTTTTGACAGTTGTAGTTTAAATTAAATTTTATGCTTTTTATACCATTACTTTTATTATATCTTGACAGAATTCTAGGGTTCAAAAATACTCCATGCAACCACAAGCCATGTAATGACTTAACTAGCTCTACATGGTCATACAAACTAATATTGCTTTCTAAACTCAACCTGTTACTTGCTATGTGCTTGGCCATATAAAGATCACCACTCAAAAACAGCAGAAAGAAAGAGATGATATACACACGCAGCACATAATCTCACCTGTGTCTAGATTAAAGCTCTTTATCGGACTGTATTCCTTTTCCTGAGCAGCAGGATCTTCCCACTGGTCTCCAAAGCCAATAATCTCCAATATTTGCCAACGCATCCAGTAGATTCGACCTGTTGACCGCCATAAAACCTGCGGGTGAAACAGATCTATGAGATCAGATCTTTTCACTCATTCAATCCTCGTGCTACATTTGTCCTCCCATTTCCCCAGTGCATAGAGACAGCAAGCACTGTTCAAGCAGAAGGCCACACAATTCACATACAGATTTCAGCACACACATTGTCTAGTTTTGAGGCATACCATCTTCACTAGCTTGTTGCCCTGGTTACACCTAGTTCTTTATTTTTAAAAAAACACCAATTTTGCCTGCAACCTACACACTACAGATCTCATTTAGCACAGCAGCAGTGACATGAGTGCATCCAGTTAATCATGCCTGGTCCAAAAGTGCCAAGCAGTAGGTGCCTTGGGAAAAGCATATAAAGGAAGAACATAACCAACATCACCTTGAGGCAGATGAGCTGTATATAAAGTGTCTCAAGGCACTTTTATACCTTGGTCATTCACCAACCCTCTCAAACAGGTTTTGGGCTCTTGACAAGCACATCTGAAATGCAGCACTTGTTTCCTCTGCTTTGTTGAAGTTGTCCTTCAAAAATCAGAAGGATTTTTTTATGGCTTCCCACACCATAGTCTTACATTTACCCTTCTGAGCAGAAAGAGAACTCAGCAACAGCAAGTATAACATGTGAGTAGCTTTAAAAAACAGCAGAAAAACATACGGTTTGCCTGTTCCACTGAGCTCTTCTGGAGTTACACCAGTGCTACTACAAGCCCATTGTGCTGGAAAGCTAAAGAGATAAGATGCTGAAAGACTTTAGGGAAGTACTATACAGAAAGAAGTTGAGTTAAACTACACACAACACCAAACGGTCTTCAATGAATCCCTGACCTACACTAGTTATGTACCAAATTTGATCTCATAGGAGTCATGGAAAGATATGGTTGCAGGACCAGACAACAGTGAAACTCTTTCTTTGGAAGGCAAAGAAAGCAACAGAAAACAAAGAAACAAAGGAAAGATGGGAGGAGGTAAGAGACAGACTCATGATGGACTGGTCCCAATTGCCATTCAAATCTGGTTTTGTCAATAGTGTAAGCCTTACAGATAACATACTGAAAATAATTCATTCAACCTAATTAAACAGAAAAATAGACAGGAGAGGGAACCCAAGGGACCAACGGGACAAAGGGAATTGAAGTTAACAGTACACTTCAGCTCAACATTGAATTATAAACCCTTTGAAATTTATGTCACAGGCAACAGGAGAAAAATGTGAAAGGAGTTTGGTGCTCTTTCCATGTGCCCAGTTACATTAAGAGTAAAAGCAAGTAAAGGCTTATAAGAAAGAGAAACCACAATTTTAGGAAAACACAGAAATCAAGAAGCATAAGGACAAAGAGAGAATCAGTAGGAAATACATTGCCTTTGCAATTTATCTTTAGGGACTGGATTATAATAGAAAAGAGATTTATAAACCACTGAAAAGTAAGATGCAAAGCAGTTATTCACTTGAGGAGGCCCAAAATGAAACATCACCTATGCACGGTCCAAAACTAGAAAAATCTTTCACTAAGGCACATGGAAGATAGGGAGGTGATTCAAGACAACCAGCAAGGCTTTACCAAGGACAACTTTTGCCTGGCCAACCGTGTGGCTGTCTATGAGGGAGTGAGTCCATCAGTAGACAAGGGAAGAGCTACCACTGTCACCTCTCTGGACTTGTGTAAGGCCTTTGACATGGATCCCACAACATCCTTTTCTTTAAATTGGAGAGATATGAATTCAACAGATGATGAAGAATTCGTTGAATGGTCATATCCACAGGTCAACAGCTCCATGTCCAGATGGAGATCAATAACAAGTGGTGTCCCTCAGTGGTCTGTATTGGGACCAATACTGTTCAATATCTTCAGCAATGACAGTGGGATCAATTGCACTGCCAGAAAGCTTTTTGACAACACCAAGCTGAGCGGTGCAGTTGACAGGCCTGAGGGAAGGGATGGCATCCAGAGGGACCTAGATGAACTCGAGAAGTCAGCCCAGAGGAACCTCATGAGGTTCAACAGGGCCAAGTGCAAGGGCCTGCACCTGGGATGGGACAAACCCTGGTACCAATCCAGACTGGAGGACGAAGGGATTGAAAGCAGCCCTATGAAGGACTTAGCAGAATGGTGGATGAAAAGCTGAACATGACCCAGCAATGTGCACTCACAGCCCAGAAAGCCGATGACACCCTGGGCTGCATCAAATGCAGCATGTCCAGCAGGTCGAGGGAGGTGACTCTGCCTCTCTACTCTCCTCTGATGAGACCCCACCTGGAGCACTGCATCCAGCTCTGGACTCCTCAGTACAAGGCATGGACCTATTGGAGCAGGTCCAGAGGAGGACCACGAAAACAATAAGAGGAATGGAACACCTCTCCTATGAGGAAACACTGAGAGAGCTGGGGTTGTTCATCCTGGAGAAGAGAAGGCTCAAGGGAAACCTTACAGTGGCCTTTCAATACTTAAAGGGGGCTTGTAAGAAAGTTGAGGAGAGACTTTTTAGTAATGTCTGTTGCAATAGGACAATAATGGTTTTAAACTGAAAGAGGGGTGATTTAGATTGGACATAAAGTTGTTCTTTACAATGAAGGTCATGAAACACTGGAATGGGTTGCTCAGAAAAGTTGTAGATGCCCCATCCCTGGAAACATTTGAGGTCAAGTTGGATGGGGCTCTCAGCAATCTGGTCTAGATGAAGATGTCCCTGCTTATTGCAGGGGGCTGGACTAGATGGCCTTTAAAGGTTCCTTTCAACCCAAACTGCTCTATGATTCCTCCCCCTCTTAAAATATTGAAGCCTTTTCCTGACCTCTGGCACAAACTTAGCAAATACGCAGCTCTTCAACAGAAACTCTCAGCTGAGGTCTACTCACCTAAAGTGCATTTTTAAAGGGAAACAGATCCCAACACATACTCACAGATCAAAAGCAACAACTGTGTAGGCTGTGTTCAACCCACTGAGAACAACAATGTGCCATAAACACTGTAATTCACATACTAAGGCTTAAATTCTTCATGTACCTTTTGCTGTGCTACTCATTTGTGTCAGCTAGCCTGTTCCTAAATCACCCTCAAGATCAAACCAGCACTAGGGACTGCTCCCAAGACACAGGAATAGCCACCTGTTTCAGAGACCAAGAAGTCTTAGCTGCACAACCCATACTAAACCAGACTAGCTTTTCTCACAACCCACACCTCCAGCTCCGAAAAGTGAGTTTTTTGCTAGGACAGATGTAGACCATGATACGTATTATGATACATCTATTGTTCAACTTCCTGCACATAAAGACATCATTAGAAATCATCAGTCCGTTCCTCTGGTCACTCCCCTCTGCCACCCCAGCCAGAATATGTCCGCCCATGACATACCTGTACTGTGTGCATGCTGTTTGTGCTCTGAAGAAACTCGCCTTCCTCCCCAGCTCTAACATCACCACAGTCCTCCAGCAAGCGCACCCTCATGCCACGCACCAGGTTTGCCTGTAAGTACTCCACATAGTCACTGCTGTCTGCGAAGTCTGACGGAGTCAAGAAGGTACAGCCCTGCTTTTTGTGGGCACTATGGTTTGAACTGAGTACAGGCATTTGGACAGCAGTGCTGGCTGGAGTCTTGTGCTGGAAGATGGAGCGGGTGGTGCGAGGCCGGAGCTCCTGTCGGGGTGGCAGCTCTGGCTTGTGGTTGTGGTTCCAGCCCATCACGTGCACCAGCTCCGAGATGAGGTTTGCCATGGCCATGCTGAACTCAAACTCCTGCTTCACACAGCTCCTCTCCTCAGGGAGCAGGCTGGGCACAGCACACTCCTGCTGCTCCTCTCCCTGCTCCACACCACTGCTCAGCTTGTCCAGGAGAGAAGTGACACACAGGTAGCGCTTCACCAGGACAAACAGCAGCTTCCCAGGGATCTGCGACAAGCACAGCTGTCAGACTCAGCCTGAAGAGCACCTCCAGCTCCCAGCTCTCTCCAAGCCACCAGCTCATCCACAGTCAGGATCCCAGGAGAGCTCTGGACCAGCTGGCAGCAGCAGAGATCTCTCAGCCCACCCTCGTCTCCCTGCTCACAGAAAGGCTTCCATGTGCCCCTCCTCCACCCTCAGCCTCACGCCAGGCCCAGATCCTGTGCCAGCTCTCCCAATAGCCAGTCTTGCTCAGCTGCCCAACTCCAACTACCTTCTTGTCCCAAACAAGGACACCTCCCTGGCCCTCCACTCCCACCCCTCCTGGCCCCTAAAGCCCCACAGGCCCAGGGCTGGCAGGGCCTGCCACTACCTGTGGAAGGGGAATCCCCTCAAAGGACATGCACTGCTCTTCAGAGGATGTTATCTCAGCAAACAGCTCCAGTAAGGTGCAGCGACTGTCAAAGTCCATGTGCTGCTCAACGCCATCCTGCTGGCTCAGGGAACGCAGGATATAGGCCCGGCTCTCTGCAACAGCAACAAAAACTCTTCAGGCCCCATAAAGACAACCCGCACCCCACCCTCAGACAGATCCACAGGCAAGGAACAGCTTTGCTGCTCCCTGTCACCTGAACCATGTTCTGTCCTTCCATCTAGAGTGGCAACATTTTGCTCCACAATGTATTTTTTCTACCCCAAAAGCTGCAAGATTCACCCAAAGCAGCAACCCAAAACACTGACTACAGATCAGGGTCCCAGGGAAGAAAAGAAGTTTTAACCTCAATCAGCCCCTCATCTGCCCCACTTCAGAGCTGCATGAACTCAGACACTAGGACAGGGAAAGCCAGATCTCTTGTGGGATACACCACAACCAGCAACCTTCCAGGTGCACCCAAGCCTCATCAGGCACTTCCAAGTCATGGCAGCTCCTCTTAAATGAGAAAACCAGGTGACAACCAGCCTCTAGGTGAGAACCCAGGGCCTGAGGAAAGGCTCCCTGCCAAGAATAGGCCAGAGCCTTTCCAACTGACAGCATGCAGCAGAGCCACCCCAGCACTCTGCCAATTCCCTTGGCATAAGTCCTTCTAACAGTTAATTAGCATCCCAGCTCAGAAACCTGTGGGGTGAAGTTGTAGCCCCACAATTAAAGTTTGAGGTAGTGCAAAAGTTAGGCCGTGTTCCATGGGAGCAGTGGAGCTGGTTAGATGGTTTCCATGGACACGGCCTTGGGTTGCAGGGAGTACAAGGTTAAGACGGTTTGATAATGTGCAGGTGCTTGGATTCCTGGGTGTTGTTGTAGGAATATGTTTGTGTTGTGTGTGAAGTTGGCAAGCTCAATAAAGGCTGCCTGCTGCGCTGAGCACGCAGACATCTCTTTGTCTCACCATCCTAGTGTGTCTTGTGTGTCCTTCTTTTCCCCTCGGACCAAGACCTCACGACAGGTACCCCACGACAGAAACCTGTCAGGGGGTTTTAACTCTCACAGCACTCCAGACAACTACAACTGAGGAAGTTTGGAAGATCCAGACTGATTCTTCCCCTTTTGCCAACAAGCCCCAAGGCATGCTGCTTCCCAGGCATCTCACCCCTACAAAAGGACTGTCATCCCTCAGCTGCCCAGCAGCATCTCCACAGTGGCACTGAGCAGCAGCAGCCCCCACCTGCATCCTGCGAAGCCAGGGTCCACAGCATCTTGCCGGCACTGTGGCGGATCTGCTTCTCCCTGTGGCACAGCATCTTCATCAGCACGTCCAGGGCTCCCGTCTCCCTGAAGGCACCCGCCAGAGAGCCAATGCCGGCGTAGGCGCTCAGCACGTGCACAGTGTTCAGGATGGAGCACTTGGGTGTCCCGGCCTCGGCCACCTGCCGCATGGCTCGCTGCACCAGACTCCTGACATCAGCCTTCATCTCCAGCAGCGAGGCTTCGTCCAGTGGGACATCTGCAGCCAACGGACTTGGTGCCTTCTCCTCTTTCACCCACGGCCCTTCAAGCTTCCTCTTGCCCAGCAGTGCTGGGCAGCTGGCACAGACCTCTTCTGCAGACATCCACATCGAGATGTTCTCTGGCTTGGTCTCTGCACAGGAGGCACTGCTGCCTCCCACTGCTCTCTCTTCCGAGCTAATCACACTCCACTGGATCAGGTATTCAGGCCGGCTGTCGTGGCCTCGACGCTGCCGGAGCAGCTTCTCCGGGTAGGCCTGCAGTTTGGGTCCCAGCTGCACAAGCAGGTTGCCATCGTGCTTCTCATTCACCATGGCAGCAGATGTGCCTGCAGAGACAGAAGGGAACCAGAATCAAGCTTTTATTTCTGAGCTGCATCCTAGGGAAAATGTGAGAGAGCACCTCAGTTGCCTGACAGTAGAACTGGTTGAGGCACAGCTTTTGATCCTGAGACCCTACACCCAGGATAAATCTCTGAAGGAAAACCCATTTTGCAAAGGTTCACATTTGCCTTCTAAGAAAATAAGACAGTATTTCATATACAAAACCTGTTCCCAGCATTACTGGCACACACAGACAGAGGTTCTCCTCAAAAAAAAAAAAAAACAAGGCAAAATGGTCCCTCTTATAAGACAGCAAATAATGACAGGAGACTTGGATCCTGTTCTCATTTCTACCACTGTCTGCAAAATGACCCTCCCAAGTTGTTGCTTCTGCACTTCTATCTTTCCTCTTGTTAATTACAATTTATTTGTTTAGACTGTAAGTTTACCCAAAGCTTAAAAACGCTCTCACTGTGGAGAGGGACCTTCACCAGGCCCTGAAGAAAATAATGAGCAATTTCTTAGATCTACTTCATATACATCAAATCGGGTCAAAGTCACTCAGTATTTCCTCCTTGGCCTCTTCTCAGAATTCTTTGCCTTTACAATGTTTCATTAATGGATAAACTCAACAAACCCAAAAGATTGCTACTCTCTGTTACCTGATTGTTCTGCATATCTTAGGACTACAAAGAAGGTGTGGTGCTTCTCTGCTTGGACCTGTGCAAAGAGGAGTGTGGAAATAATTCGCTGTCCAAGGCTGAGGGCCAGCAATTAGCTGGCCAGCTGCAAACACCACGGACTGGCTTTGGATTGACTTCACTACTACAAAGGATTCCAGATTAGTCTGATAGGAAGGTTCTCAGAGGAGCTCAGGTAGGTGGCAGTGGGAAACACAAGAACAGGCTCTCCTGTCACTTACACATGCCAGTAAGAGAAGCAGCGAAGCAAGATCCTGTCCACTGATGGTAACACAAGTCATTCTCGAAAAAGGAGTTAAGATACAACAGAAACAGTCAATCCAGGTACAACCAAAGAAGACACTAACCATCAGACTATGACAGGCACATTAAAAATGTTTTCCAGGTGCAGAGAGAAGCAATCTGCCAAGAAATTCATACCTATCTTCAGTTGTGCCTTCCTTGGAATTTGCAGCAAGCTAGATGGGAATCTTCTTGCAGTCTCTGTAATAAAAAGACTAAGTTATTGTCCTGTGCTTTGTAACAGTGTTTAGACGCCACACAATAAGCCAAACAATCATTTTCCTTAAATGAGCTTGGATGGTGCATACACACAGAAAAAAACCCATCCTACAAGGTTCACATAAAATGAAAATCAAAGTAAAACAGAAGTCTCTGGGAAGTTTGGTAACTTCACCCCATTCCCACATCATGCCATTTAGCATGAAAAAACCTCTTTCGAGCAGAGCCCAGAAGAAGGGGCCCAAATGGACTTGTAGCTAGGAAGGGGAGAATTTGGGCTTAGGGCACCTGAAGTATTGCTGCACCACGTGTGAATGACGTGCACTGGAGGCCACGACAACCCACAGCCGAACTGTCAGACCGCTGTGACACAGGGGCTGCACTCCGTGTCAGAGCTGTGATGCCGAGTCCACCAGGCATCACGGCACGGCGTTCAGCAGCCCAGCCCAGCCCGGCTCAGCTCCGCCCGGCCTCCCACCGCGCCGTGACGGCGGGTCCGCACGGGCGCGGGCAGGGCCCCTCGCACCGATGTGCCTCGGCCGCTCCAGACACCCCAGCGAGCCGCGCCCCACCGTCCGGGCCCCTCGCTCACCGCTGCGCCGCCGCCCCCGGAGCGCAGCGAGGCCGGGCAGAGAACGGCAGAGCCCGGCCCCGGTGCGCGGGGGACCGACCGAGCCCCGGCGCGGGGAAAAGGAAGGGGCCCCTCAGGCGCCTGCCCCGTCGGGAGGTCTCGTCCCCGCCCGGCGCCGGTCCGGCTCTCCCCGCGCACCCAGGGCGGCGGCGCGGCCGAGACTCGAAGGCTCCGCCGCGGGAGCTGTCCCGGCGCCACCGGGAGGGACCGGAAGCAGCAACACCGCCCGCCGCGCTTCCGGGTCCGCACTACGGGAGGCGGCAAGGGACAAGGAGCGGCGGGGGCTGCGTGGTCGGCGCCCGCGCGTCCCTCGGAATCACAGAACGGGTCAGGCTGGAAGGGACCACAGCGGGTCATCTGGTCCAACCTCGCTGTTCAAACAGGGTCATCCTACAGCACCTGGCTCAGGATTGTGTCCAGACAGTTCTTGGATATCTCCAGTGAGGGAGACTCCACAACCTCTCTGGAAAATCTGTTCTAGTGCACGGTCACTGCACAGTAAGGAAGTTCTTCCTCATGTTCAGCTGGAACTTCCTGTGCATCAGTTTCTCTCCGTTGCCTCTTGTCCTATTGCTCGCCACCACCGAGCAGAGCCTGCCTCCATCCTTTTGGCATCCTCCCTTCAGATACTGATAGACATTGATGAGGTCCCCTCTCAGTCGTCTCTTCTCAAGGCTGAACAGGCCCGGCTCCCTCAGCCTGTCCTCGTAAGGCAGATGCTCCAGTCCCCTAATCCTCTGTGTTGTCCTCTGCTGGACCCACTCCAGGAGCTCCGTGTCTCTTGTCCTGAGGAGCCCAGACCTGGACACAGCTCTCCAGGTGATCCTCACCAGGGCTGAGTAGAGGGGCAGGATCACCTCTCTCGACCTGCTGGCAATGCTTTTCCTAATGCACCTCAGGATACCACTGCCCTTCCTGGCCACAAGGGCACTGCTGCCTCCCCTTCCCGGGTCCCTCTGGGGCGAGGGGATGCAAGCTGCAGCTGCAGCTGGAGCTGGAGTGCAAGGGCCTGTCTGTGGCCACACACTCCAGCCACGGGTCACAGGGCTGCTGTCCCTCCCTGCCGGAGGTGAGAGGCAGAAAAACATGGAAGATCAGAGTATCTTCTGATTCTCCTGGCTAATATTAGAAATGAGAAGAAATGGAGATGGGAGCTGAAAACTGCACCTGCCAGAGCTCAAGAGGCTTTTTGATAACATGTTGCGCTGTGTGTTGGTACAATTTCTCAGGTGATTAATCGTCCTCATCAAGGGCTGTAGCAGAATGGGTGGTAGGTAGGCTAAAAGCATGTCATGTCAGCACTAACATTTTTATTGCAAATAATAATGTAATAATAACCATTAATCAAAAATTACATCAACATCAGGCCCGTGGCCCTGGGGTGGTTCCAGCCCTGCATCCACCCTCCCTCCATCCACTCTGTTCGGCTTCAGTGACAGCTGTGCTGGCTCTTGGCAGGTTTGGGCCTCTGAGACTGTCCTGTTCTCAGTGTTGCTAGAGAGACAATTGAAACCTGTTGCACACAAGTTTGTCCTCTTTCCAGTTCCTTTCCACCTTTGGTGTTACACTGGTGTGAAATGCCCATACCATAAAATCTAAATTCTTATCCTTTATCCAATTTCCCTTCCTTGGTAGGCCTCACAGCAGTCATCAGACTGATAGAAACCTGGATTGTGGCTAACATTTGTTTTAAATTATAAACAAACATTAAAATCAGCTAAATGGATGAGACTCTACTTTCTTATTTGATGCTGGAGCAACTTCATGTATGTGCCCAAATTAATTTCTACCTTCAGAACTAATGCAACTGATCAGACAATTTCCATGTTTTACAATAGCAATCAGCAATTAATCCCAACGATATAATTGCAATTAACTATAGGCTGGATAAAGCAGTGCAGTACTGCATCAGTTTGTGGAGACCATCCTCTAAAGCTGTGGCACCGATGGTGGACTGTAAATGTTCATATTTCCAAGCCAGGCTCTTGATTTTCTTGATTACATCAGCATGTAATCTCTGCTGATGCTATTGATGCTCTCTTTCCAGAATCCCATGGATGCCCTTGAAATTTCTGTGTTCGCAATTAACATGTCCTTTTCCTTCCCCATTCACTACCAAGACATCCTGTTTGTGACACTGAGGTTTTCTGTGGTATTCACATGGCCTGTTTATTGTCTTGGCTCCAGTGATCTTGCTTAGTAGGTCATTTACCCTAAAAATAAAGATTACATCTGTGGTATCTTGCTCCATATGTCACAGACGTGCACAAGTGACATGGGATTGCTTGTGCTGATAGGAGGTTTGTAGTGCTGAACCACGAGACACACGTGTAGGCATGCTGCACGTGGGGCTAGCTGTGGTGTAACCTGTATAAGTGAAGCACCTCACCTCCTAATGGGGAAAGAGCCATTTGAGCTGTGTTTTGCTCCTAAGCACTTTCTGTGCAATCTTCTCTCCTGCTGCACTGACATATTTTCTCCAAACAGCACTGTGAGGAAAAGTGCTGTGCCTCCACTGCACAGACTTTTATCAGTGCTAAGCTTTCCTTGCACCATACTGGTACCTGCTCCAGGATCTGATGCTAGATAGCAGCATTTCTAGCTGGCATACTGTTGCCTCAGCAGCCCTGAGGATTGTAATAAGCCCCTTTTCTTTTGGTTTCATTCACAGCTTTACACACTTTACTGAGCCCCCATGTGCCCTTGACCTGGCTTCTAGGCATCTGCCTTTGACCTGACTTCACGTCTCTCCGGTTTGGATTTTGAATATTGCCATATCTTCTCATAGCAGTTTTCTGCAGGGAATTTAACAGTCCCCCTGCTCCTCCCTATTAACACCCATGATTTAGAACAATTCTTTTTCAAAATTCCCCATTCCTCCTCATTCCTGGTTTTTACTTCTCTTGACTGACGCCATGCCCTGCTTACCACCAACACTGTTCCAGAGCTTTCAGAAAGGACAGCCCTCACAGCCCTGCTGTCAGCCACAGGCCCCCTCTGGTCCTGCACTAGGTCTGGGACTCCCAGAGTACAAGTCCAAGTGGTTGGGTCTCACCTGTGCAGAAGGCAGTAGGGATGGAGACTTTTGCAAAGAACCCCTCTTTGCCACATCAGGCTCAGACAGACCCTCATCCTTGACAGTAAACAGACTGATGCAGGAATCTGCCTTTGATCCCCATGCGTTCCCCCTAAGGTATGTGTCATCCCCTCCCGCAAAGCACAATCGAGATCCCAAATCTGTGCACAAAATGATAACATTTATTGAAAGAGTAATTTTTTTTTAATACAAAAGAAAGCTCTGTACATAGTACTGTGATTACTTCCACATCCTTCCAGAAACACAACCCTGGAAACTGGAGGGAAAAAAAAATAATCCCAAACACACTTATGCGTACACACACACGCGCACACACACACACGCACGCCCACACACACACACACCCCTCAAACCAGTAAAATTAACTAAAAATGTCACCACACAATAAATGCCATTTCATCCCTGATACACAAGTGTTCTTACAAGTCTGCACTTAAATAAAATACACCATTAGCGTTTAACCAGCAGTTGCCTTTGGGGAGCCAGGGAGGGGATGCAGTCAGACACCCTGTAGCAGCAGGGGCTCTCCTGCCATTCTGGCCCAACAGCTCTGCTCCATAGTGCTAGCACAAGCAAAGCAGAGCAAAGCCAGGCCACACTGACGTGCTGGGGCAAAGGACAACGCAAACCCCAAACCCACACTTCTCCCTGGATGAACTCCTAGGTACCCAGATTGCTTTGGAAGCATTACTGAGCAGTTTTCACACACCTAGCAAAGGGACATGGCTTAGCACTCCCATATGCTCTGAGCTGCAGTGTATGCATCACTCTTAGAGCAAGAATACTAAGGGGAGGCAGCATGCAATGTCACTCTCACCAACTCTCCACAACCCCTTCCCAGGCTGTTAACAGACCAAGGGCTGAAAGACCCTTCTGGGAATTCTTTGTACAGGAAGCTTGGAGGGAACCTGTCCACATCTGTGCACTGCAGAAAGGCTGTAGAGGGGGATCTGCAGCCCAGATCTTCAGCTAGGGGTTGAGAAGATGCTACCCGCACAGCAAGCAGGGAGAACAGGGATTAGCCACTGCTGGTCACTCACCACACCCAGGGAAGAGCGGGGATGCCTATATCCCTTAGACAGTCACAGGCAGCACTGCTCCACACCAAGAGCAGTGACAAAACAGCTGCAGGTCCCTGGACCAGAAGTGAACAGGGTGATCATCAGAAAACCCAGCTCAGCTCTGGCTCCCATGCACGCTACAAATCCCCTGCTCCTGAGGAATGGGTTTCCCACTTCTAGAAACTAGCCACTGCTTCACTTGCCTTCTGCCCATTGAGCCCAGAATTATGAGTCCTCAGTATAGATAAGTGGGAAACAAGCATCCCACTCAGTTGAGCTTGATCCCTGGCACATGCTGGTGGATGAAGAGTGTGGCTTAAACGCTAATGCTGAGGGAACATGTCCAAGGTTACAATACAAACTCAAAAGCAAGGCCCCTTTCCTGCCTCCATGCCCACCCACCCACCCCTCTCCCATCCCCCTGGTACAAACCCCATTAAAACTGTACAGGAGCCAAACTTTTATTCCTTAAAGAATTACATAAATACTGAGTTTAACACTTAGAAAAATAAAGTAATTTTCTTTTTTTTTTCTCCAAGGCTTCTTTTGTCTTTAACTTAAAAAAAAAAAAGTTACAGTAGCTGCTTCCTCTCCTAAGGATTCAGCAGCTTCTCTCACTTGCTCACTCTCCCTCCAGGGACAGGGCTAGGTAGCAGAGCCATTCACAGCAACTCCCATGCAGGACCAAGCATGCTCCAGCCCTTCTCCCTTGGCCTTGCTGAGCCGTACAGGCATCACAGCTGTTCCTCCACAGCCCAGGATGGCCTGCAGATCACCCTGATGCTAAGAGGAAGAGCCTGCCACCTGCCCAGCAGCTCAATGCCCCATGGGCTCTTCCCTTTGACATTTGAGTTGTTTCTCCACCTTGCATCAGACACAGAAATTTAGAACACGCCGGCTGGAGCTGCAGGGGGATGTAAGAAAGACCCAGCCACGTTCCCCTGGGTGTATGGAGTCCACAAGCAGTGCGAGGGCTGAGAGTGTGGGGCTGAGCAGAGCACAGAGCC